TTTTAGGGTTACTTTAGTTCTCTAAACTTTTATGAACAGCAATAGTTATTGAAATGCGTGGGTGGGAGATTTAAGTCTCCCATTGAAACCGAAGGGCATGGGGTGTCCAGGTGGGCGGCAAGCATTTTCAAAGTAAATAAATGCGTTTTGGACATTTTATGGAAGGAAAGGGAAGAAAAGAAAGCGATGCCTTAGGACCATTTTTTTTTTTAATTGTTTTCCCAATGCAGATGTCACTAATTTATCCATTCGCCTCTTTCGAAACATCATATGGCAGTGATGATATATGAATGAATTTTTGTTTCAAGCAAATCTTCATTGGTGGGGGGGGAAGGGGGTTGGGGTGAGTAGGTGGTTTTCATTTTGCACATTGCACATGGGGCCACCAAAACACCTTTTAACAGGATTCAGTAATAATGATAGCATACAAAAAGATTTCAACATAATTTTCATTGGCATTGCAAATTGTAGCATATTTTCACATTCCCATCATTCCGTGAATGCCTATCGCCCTATTAATCAAATGCCCAAAATTATAGTAAACTGTAAACTTTTACTGTCAATTATGGGGGTGGGAGTGGGCTACCCACGGGCCGGACAAAAGCTAGCAGTGAGTGGACACCTATGTTTGATCCAAGACTTTAATTTAATCACTTTAACGCTTGGAGGGACTGATATAAAGACCTAACAAGATTAAAATGATTTATATATCTACTAGTTTTTTTTTTACCCGTGCCATGCACGGAGTTTTTTTATTATATTTTTTTATAATTTAAATTTTTAATTTATATTAATTTTTATATTATATATAGATAAATAAAAATAATCATAATCATTTATAATTTATAGTTTAAAATTAAAAAAATTTGTCGATATATAAATTATTATTAAAGAATCTAAATAAGCATTATAAAAGTTTTAGATTATGAAAGTAAAATTATATACAAACATCAATGAGAAAATTAATCTTTTATTCACAATTACATAAATTTTTTAAAAGTATATATTATTTTAGTATAAAAACTAATATTTACACAAGTGATATATCATGAAAAACTTTTTCATATTTAAGTTTGAAACTTTATTTTGTCAAACTTTTATGACGAAAAGAAAAAAAATTGATTGTGAGAAAAAATCATAAATATATATTTAATAATTATTTAATTTAAAAAAATCTAAAATTTTAAAAATTTAATTTATCCAAGTTTAATTTTAAATTAAAATAAAAGAAGTTAGTATAATTTTAAATTAAAATATGTGTGTAATTTTGAATTGAGATAAAATATTTTCTTTTTTATTTTAAATTATAAAAAAATAAGGACAAAAATTGGTAAATATTTCAACCACAAATTTTATTTATTTAAATTTATATAAATATTAATTTAGATGGTGTATAATTTTTTTTATGATTTATAAGATTTAGGAATTTAACTTTTAAAAGCTATTTGAATTGGATAAGAGTGAAATATGAGAAGATATATTTTATTATATTTAAATTAAGATAAACTTTATATATTTGAAAAGATTTTGATAAATGTAAATTTCAAAATTTTAAAATTTTTTAAAATTAAATAATTGATTTAATAAAATTATTTAAAAATATCTTACGTGTTAAAAATATAAATTGTCCATCTAAACATTCACGTAAATAAATCTTATCAAAATTTTTATATATGTTGTAATATAATATCATATATGATTAATAAAAACTAAAAGGCATTAGGAAAGGGGAAACCAACAAATTCTCGGGGAAAGAGATGGCCACTGTTCTTATGTATTTTCCTTGTCAAAACAAATTGTGGAAATTAGAAGATTATCCAAATCAGTAAATTATAGAGTTTACCAAATGTGATAAATCAAGAAATTGAATTGAATTGAAGTTGAATTCAAATCAATTTAGATTAGATCAAGTTTTGATCAATTTAAATTCGAATTAAATTAATTGGATTGAAAGATAAAGATAAAATGCAATAGAGCTGTAAGATAATTGAAGTTGCAGTGTGTTTGTGGTTTCTAAAACATGTTTCTTACTTGCCTTCATGTTATATTTTTATGGGTGAAAATTACTCCATCCGCTGGTCTTCACTCCATGTATCTATTAGTTGAATTTTAACTTTAATTGCTTTTGAATCATTTACCTTCTTGAAAACGAGTAACTGTCCAAATGAATGCTAGAATATCTTTATTATGTGCTGAATTTTCTCCATCACTAGTTTCACTTAGCAATTAGTATTTCAGATCATTAAGTATTTAATTATGTTGAATTCTCTTTAATCCCTTAATTTAATCCTTACTTTATCCATTGCTAAATCCTCTTGGCAAAAGGTTTGTGACTGTTGGTAATTTCTTGTTATGCTTAATTTTCTCAAGTATAGTTCTTTGCCATTGAGATTTAATCGGACTTAGGCTCTTTAAATTTGTTTTGTTTTAGTCTATGGACCCCTTTCATCAGCTACCCCAAAATTATTTGTCTATCAAAATATTAGGTATTGTAATATTTTGACCATTAACCCGATTTAACCCAGTTAATTTAGTTAATTCCATTGGGCTAATGATATTTCAAAGATGCTAAGCCTTTCTGCTCATAATTAAATCACTAATTAATTGATATTAACTCCATATTTGGATTGTACTTAATTATTTATCTATGGGTTAAATCATTTGGTTTAATTTATTAATTAATAAATTATAACCCGCGCAATACACGAAATAATTTTATTTATGTAGTATAAATATATATATACAAATTAATTTATTTTTAAAACTATATTTAAATCTTTAAAACTCATAATTTAAAATTATATTTAAATCTTTAAAACTCATAAGATAAAAAAAAAATTATATATTTTGACTTATCATTAAAAAAATAAATTTTCTGAAAATAGCATAAAAAAATTATATCTTTTCTTTGGATATTTTTGTTTACAATAATAATTATACACTTGTAAAATTATGTCAAATAAAAATAAATTATGTATTTTTTTAAAAAATAAAAAATATATTATTAAATGATAAATTAAATAATAAAAAATTAACACATTTCACTTTAGTAATCTTGAAAAAAAAAATTATTTTTCATAAGAATGAAACTGTAATAACAATAAAATATATCTTAGAAAAAATTTATAAATAAAAAAATTGCAATAGTAATAAAATATACCTTAAAAAATTACTGAAAAAATAAAAAAAAAATTGATGTATAACACATTACATTTGTAGTCTTAAATTTATAAAAGAATTCTTTAGTGTCAATTATGATTAAATAGATAATTTTTAAAATTTAAAATAAATATAATAAGTGATAAAGATAATATTCAATTTTTTGCATTTATTTAAGATATAAATATAATAATTAGAGTTCAAATAGATATAATTATTTTGATAATCTTATTATTTAAAGATTTAATATGAAAATTTTTTGAATTTTCAAAATTTTACGTAAAATTACTTAAATTTTTAATATTTTACATAAATTTTTTAAAAAGATAATTTTTTAAATCAAGATAAAAAAATATTATTGAAAGATTTTGATAAACTTAATCTTTGTAATTTTTAAACATATTTGAAAGATTTTGATAATTAAATAATTTTTTAAATAAGATTATTTGGTAAACAACTAAAATTGTTTACTAAAAAAATAAATTTCATATTTCATATTTTTTATTTTAGAATATATATATCTCTAAATTGATTTGATTTTTAATTATAATTTGAATAATTTTGATATTTGAATAAATTTAACATTATATAATTTATAATTAAAAAAACTATCTTATTATTTTAAAAAATTATCTTATGTATCATTTAAGAGAGTTATCCACGTAAATGTTTACGTGACAAACTTATTTATGTATGTTACTATATATATATATATATTAGATTTTGGGTGTCAACACACATATATATTATTCTATATAAAAAAAAATTCAAACTTAATTTTAAATAAAATACGGGCACCTCTAATTCATTAATTGAATCAAATGTATCATATTTTGCTTTGTAAGTTATAAGTGAATAATAATGAAATTTGTATATGAGTCATTACAAATGCTGAAAACGATCACGCATTTTCGTAAATTTACAATCATATCTTCAAGTTTTCAGATTGAGTGCTGCCATTACCATCCCGTTTTGCTATATAGTTCCATAACTCGAATTCGTGGAGGACAAAACAGAAAAAAAATAAAAATAAAAATAAAAAAGGAAACGTGCCTAAAACGGAACGGGGTTGCCCAAATAGGTCATAATAAAGTGCAAAACTGCATCTCGGCTGCAGATTTAAATTACCCCTACAAAAGTCCAACCAGGCTGTCCCAAGCGGCAGCTGCAGCACCCGCACCCAAGCCGACCGTTTCTCGACCTCCTACCTAATATCCTTCGAAACCTATTATCGTAATGCTTAATACTTAAATGGTAGTAGAAGTAATCTTTGGCTTTTCAGTCTTTTAATACTCCAAACTCCATGGTGCTAAGTCCTAGTAGTACTAATTACTCCCCGTTCCATAAAATTCGAACATAACATTTCTTCAGTACGATCCAAAATGTAAGCCCTCATTTCCCGGTAAAATCTTATTTCGATCTAAAGATATAAATGATATATAAAAAATTATTCAAATTTAATTTAATTTAATTATTATTAAATCAAATTTAAATTTATGCAATTCACTAGTCAGTTAAATTTCAAGTATTTTAATATTTGATCTAAATAATTTACAAATTTAATTAAATTTTTATATTTTTAATGTATATTTATATTATTTTAATTAAAAATATATTATTTTATTTTTATATATTAATTCAAATTCAAATTATAATCAAAATTGAAATCGAAGATAAAATCAATTTTATTTTTTATTGAATAAACAAAATAAAATAAAATAATTTCATTTCATTTTAAATTTAAATTTAATTTAATTAAAAATTAAAATACAATGAAATTCTAATCAAATTTAAAACAAAAATTTTTGAATAAACCTCTAGTTATATCTATTCCACTTGGTTCGACTGCACCTTACCCAACCCAGCCATCCCCAAAAGGAACGCAAAATTCAAAAAACAAAAAAAAACCTCCTCAGATATTTATATCCCAAACTTACCGATAGAATAGAACTACTATCAAATACCACAAGCAAAACTCCAGTGCCAAGAACCATTCCTCTTTCTCTCCTTCTCCTTCTTCTCCTCCTCCTCCTCCTCCTCCTCCTCCCTATCCCACGCACACGCACCGCACTCGCACACGCGCACCCATTTTTAAAACATTTCCCTTGCTTTGTTTCATCGAGATTACTAGATCAACGGAGGATATGGGCATAGAATGAGGAAGAATCAACGGCTTAGATAGCCGTCATCGTCATCGTTAGTATCATCAAAACCACTATCGATATGTCGGTATCGTGCTCTGATCGCTTCACTGACTTACTCTGCGGTGAGGATTCCGACGAAGTATTCTCCGGTGAATCGCCGGCGTGTTCGTCAGAGCTGGACTCTTCGGCGTCTTGCATCGAGGAATCCTCCATCGCTGGCTTCATTGAAGATGAAAGGAACTTCGTCCCCGGATTCGATTACCTGGCTCGGTTTCAGTCTCAGTCTCTTGACGCGTCGGCTCGAGAAGAATCCGTTGCATGGATTCTCAAGGTAAACTGTAACTGACTATACTGTACCTCACAATCTCTGTTCTTTGATATTACGATATCTCACGGTTTTGCTGGAACGCGCTTGGTAAGTTACGTTTTGAAAATCAAAAAGTAAAGAGATCTAATAACAGCCGTTCGATGGACGGAAACGAATTATCGATTGGCGGCTGTTAATTCAACTTTTGCCATTTTACTTTTTTTTTTTCCTAATATTCCCTTTTTGTTTGTTTGCAGGTACAAGCATACTATAATTTCCAGCCTTTGACGGCGTATCTTTCCGTTAACTACATGGATCGGTTTTTGTATTCCCGCCGGTTGCCGGTGAGCTTCCGTCTCTGTTAAGTTTAGTAAAACTTACTAGTGAAGAATTATTAACTGGATGATAATTTAAGATTATGTTGGCGGAATTTGAGTGATTAGAATTGACTATTCGGTGTAATTTTGTTTGACTTTTCAACCTCGAAGAAACCTTGAAAAGGACTTGAGTACTCGACAACAGTAAATCAGTAACAGTAGCAATAAATAAAAAAATGTTAAGCTATTTTTTTAACCAAAATAGTGGCTTCGGCTTGCCTTTGCATTAATTACAGTACGAGACTTTAATTCAAGTGTATTTATTAAGCGCTTCTTTACTATGATATATGTACTTTTGGTTAAAGTTTTACTGCTTGTATCATTCTTCTACCTTTGAATGGTAGGTGGTACTTTTTCTTTAATGAGGTAAGTAAATGTGCATAGAATTTCTCACAAAAAGTTGCTATGCGAGACATTCATTGCTGTTTTATTATTAATGGATGGTGATTAACAACGCGATTTTTTTTGTCTTTTTTTTTTTTTTACTATTCAGCAAACTAGTGGGTGGCCATTGCAACTTTTATCCGTTGCTTGCTTGTCGTTAGCAGCCAAGATGGAGGAACCTCTTGTTCCATCTCTTTTAGATCTTCAGGTATATTTCCTGGCTTCTAATTATTACCAAGTACCGTCTCTGTCCTGTAAAATTTTTGTGATCAAACTTTTAATTTTGATTTCGTTTATTAATTAAAATATTAAAAAATACTTTTAAATATTTAAATATACTTTTATAAAAAAAAATTAGTTTAATTAAATATTAATTTTCAATGATAAAAAAGTTTGAGTAAAAAATCAAATCAAATAGTTTTAATTTTTATGAAGGAGATCATAGCATGTGATAAAAAAATTTAAATCTTAAATCTATTACTATTAAATATTATTTTTTAAAAATAATTATATAAATTAATTGAATTAAATTTTGAATTCAAATCAATCAAATATTATTTACGGATGGAAGAAGGACCAGTAATTTTTTTCAAAGAGCATTATTTTAATTTCGACATAATGTTACATATATATATGTGCAGGTAGAGGGTGCCAAATATATTTTTGAACCAAAAACAATTCGCAGAATGGAACTGCTTGTGCTCACAGTTTTAGATTGGAGGCTGCGATCAGTAACACCATTCAGTTTCATTGGTTTCTTTGCATGCAAGCTCGATCCAACGGGAACATTTTTCGGTTTTCTGATTTCAAGGGCAACGGATATCATTTTATCCAATATCAAAGGTATTATTACTATTATAGATGCAAATGAATTTTATTCTCTTTCTGTCGGTTTATCATACAAATACATGCATATATAAACAGCATTTGTATAAGTAAGCATACACATACATATTCATATGTTAAGAAAAAAGCTTATAATAATCAGTTCAAATAAGAACTTGTTTGCTAATGTGAACAGAGGCCAGCTTCCTAGAGTATTGGCCTTCAAGCATTGCTGCTTCAGCGATACTTTGTGCAGCCAATGAAATTCCACACTTGTCTCTTGTTAATCCTGAGCATGCTGAGTCATGGTGTGATGGACTAAGCAAAGTAAGCTCATTTAATGTGTAAATGTAATTCTCAGTTTAACAAGAAACTAGCTAGTATGCCAACTTGGAAAAATATTCATTTTTGCAGGAGAAAATCCTTAGTTGCTACCGGTTAATGCAAGAACTTTTGCTTGACAATGCCAGGAGGAAACTACCAAAGATCTTACCACAGCTTCGAGTTACAATCCGGGCTAGAATGAGGTCCAGTGAGTCGTCATCCTCATCTTCCTCATCACCTTCTTATAAAAGAAGAAAACTAAATAACTGCTTGTGGGTAGATGATGACAAAGGAAACTCCGAGTAAGGGAAGCAGGGAAATAATAAAGAAAAAAAAAAAAAAGGAAAAATGGTGGCCCAAGTTGTCTAGAAACCTCAAATTTTTTTTTTTTTTTTTTGGGGAGGGGGAGGGCTTTGAGAGTAAATTGACCTGAGTGATGTAGATTATCTAGTATATAAATGTATGTATGAAAGAATTTGGTGAGTTTGGAGATTTATTAGTTTTTTCGATGGTGGGCAATGCCATTCATTAATGGCTTTGCAGATTCCCAAGGGAGTGGGGAGTTGTTATAAATATTTTTGTGTGAGAAAGTTAGGGGAAAAAGGCCATGTTTATGTCTAATATAGTGGGAGTGATGAGGTGTGGAAGAAGTGGCGGGGGGGAGGGAGTTGAATTTCAATGCCTGCATTGATTATTGAATGAATGGAGAGGGGAAGGAGGTGGCGGGTCTCCTAGGCACAGAGTTTAGAGCCTTAGGAGGGAAAGGACAGAAAATCCTGAGATAGGTTGGCGGATTTGAGGATGGAACGGTGAGGTTTGAGCTGCGTTCATTGAGAAGATGGATTAAAGTCAAGCTTCGCATCTATCCAGGCCACTGTCATTGCTTCAACATCTGCTTGCTTTTCTCTATTCAATATTTGGCTACGCACAAATACAAAGATGAAAAAGGAAAAATAAATATGGCTCCATTATTTTTTTAAACTTCAGTATTTTTTTTTGAGTCGTTTGTGTGCGCACGCATTCGGCATGTGTGGCACGCACGTGTGTATGTGTGCTTTTTTGGCGGGAAATGCCTCCTCTTCTATTGGCCTTGGCCTTTGGCCTAACCTATACAATGGTGTTCATGCGTGTGATGGTGACACGTGTGCATACTTTTTTTTCGGCTCTTTATTTTTTCATTTTTTATTTCCTCAGAGGAGAAAGAAAACCTCTCTCATGGCCAGAGTTTGGCCTAAACATATACGAAGGTCTTTGGGGCCTTTCAAGCGTGTTGTGTTTGATTCGTGAATAAATAAATAATCGGATTATTTCGTTATATAACTATTGCTATTTTCTTTCATTTCATATCGGATCTTCTTTCTTTTTCTTTTTTTTTCTCTGTGCACTGCACGTGATTGACAATACATAATTTGTAGCTTTGCCATTTGTTTTATTAATCTCTACTGATTCTGAAGAAATTTTAATGAATTACCGGAGGCATCGCTCAGTGAAGGGACTAGGACTGGGTCCCGCAGGCAATAAAGACGCTTCGTTCACGAACACGACCGCTTAGCAATTGCCACTCGTGACCTCCGCATGCATGGCTGGTTGGTTATGATTCATCTGAATCATCTCTTCCATATCTAAATATCACACAGCTGATCTCTGATTCACGTCCCTCAACTCTCAACTGACCAGTGTCAATCAATTTAAATAGCCGATTTTCAAGTTTTTCTCATCTAATTTCCTTGAGTCTTCATATCAACAGTGATATCTAAACTCTAAATTATCCCATGCCAACCACATATATATACGGTTAGAATTAGCTTCTTTACATCGGATGATAAAATTAACAGACCAATTCATGAAAGTAGGGGTTGAGTGAGATGTACATTGTGGGAAAAAGACAAGGAATGAAAAAGCAAGCTCTTTTTCATCTAAAATTGCATATATAGAAGTTTTATTGTAACATTACAAATAGAAAAAGTTGGTCCAGCAAAGAAATTGTCATTTTGCCCTAGATCCCCGACATATGGTATATATATTATGAGTTTATATTTGCGTTGCATTGCATGTGGTAATATTACAGAATGGCCCTTTTAAAAATGGCGCGTAAAAGGTAACCTTGCATCTTAGGTTAACTCCACCAATGGTCCTGCAAATTGCAAATCTTATCACCTCCACCTGCAACATGTGGTATCTCAGCTGTTAACCATGCTCCATCACATCTCCACCTCAAAATGTTTCATATGCCAGTTTCCTCCATGGACCAGGGTGAAAGGAAATCCGATGCAAGTTGACAATTCTTCATCAGTACAATTTTATCCAACTCTATTGGGTTTGTTCTTATAACTTGGAACTTCTACATTCTTCGCCATTGATCATCAAGGGATGTCAGGACCACAAGGATTATTATTGATATAAATTCAGGGTTATTTTTAATTAATTTGACAATTGATAATCAAGTCTTTGTTTAATTGTTCTAATTAATTACTAGCTACCCTCATAGGCCATTTAGTAAACGTTGTTTTTTTATTTGTTCCAACAGTGCGTGGATCCCATTATCAAACGTGTCAGAACCCACTTGGGTAATATTTAATTATATCTTGAATCCTTTTATAAAACCCTCTGTAGGGGAGGGACTCTCCAATCAGTTAATCACATGTGGAATTTCCTATTAGTACGGCTAGGAGGAAGCCATGAAGATTTGGAGTATATCAACCCACCCCACCCACATATCTTCACATTAGAACTAAATTGCAGGTCTGATTCAGTGATCAACAACTGATAACTATAATTAATCCACAACAGCCCACCCCGTGGAGGTTCTGTCACCAAAAAAAATAAAAAAAAGAAATTAAAAATAATAAGGTTTGGATATTAATCTACAGCTTTAGAATTTAATTAACAGGGGCAGAGAATAGCCCAAGGTGTTGGAATGCAATGACGTGATTACTAGCTAAAAAGTTAACCACGTTTCCAACTTTTCAAAAGACAGTAGTAGTAGTAATTAAAGGGAAAAAAAAAGTCTCATAAAGCACGTGTCCTCACATGAGATATTTAAAGCAACTTGGTGCAATGTAATGTAAATAGTGATAATATAATGCATCCTAGATATGTAATTAACAACTTATATACACATTATAAGATAGCTGATGTTATGTAATTAACAACTTATATACACATTATAAGATAGCTGATGCTATGCAAAGAAATTAAGTTTTAAGAACAATTACATCGTATTTAGTGTATAGCTTGTAGCAATAATGTATTTATATAGGATTCAATCATCTATATTTATTCAAAATACCAATTGAATTCAAGGGAAATACTTTACATTCTAATAGTTTTATGCCAAGTATTCAAAAATAATATGGATTTTGATTATAAAATTTAATTTATAACAAACCGAAATTACATCTCTTATTATTATTGTCTTTAAAGGGACATTTGCCTTGAGAGAATTCATGCATTTTTTTTCGAAATTTTATTGTTAGATATTTGATTTCAATGTTTGATTCAAGGTAATCTAATTCTGAAAAAAAAATGATAGATTCTTAATAATACTCAAAGTTTTGAAATAAAAAATTCACCTCTCCTTGTGATATCTAAGATTTTGGGGAAGAAAATTACGTTATTTTTCAAATTTGATATGAATAAAAAATTATAAAATATTCGTTATTATTTTTAAAAATATGTCTAAAAGTGATTGTAAATCAATTGTAGATTTAGTATGAAAAATGCCTTAAATAATATGGTCCAAAAAATTGAAAGGTATTATTTAAGGTATTTTTGATCAAAAACTTATTAAATAATCCTCTTAAAAATACATTAAAGCATTAAAAAAAAAAGTCGAATCTGCAACCTTATGATTAATAACTATATACTTTAACCAATTAAGCTATTTCAACTTTTTTATATTTTATCTCTTAAATCTTATAAATAATGAAATGGATTATTTAAGGCATTTTTAGTAAAAAAATACCTTAAATAATACGGTCTAAAAAGTGAAGGGCATTATTTAAGTTTTTTTTTTTAACAAAAATGTCTTAAATAATTTTCTTTAAATAAATATTAGAGATTATTTAAGGTTTTTTTGACTAAGAACGCCTTAAATAATATCTTTCAAAAAATTGAAGAGTATTATTTATGGCTTTTTTGGTTAAAATGCCTTAAATAATCTCTTTTAAAAAAATTAGAGATTTTCAAATAATTCCCTGATATTTTTTAAATGACATTTATTTAAGACTTTTTTAGACAAAAAATTCTTTAAATAATCTCTTTAAAAAAATAAAATGAATTATTTAAGGTATTTTTCAACTAAAAATGTCTTAAATAGTCCTCAGTATTTTTTTATTTATGATATTTTATAAATAAAAATAGCAATTAAATAAAATATTTGTCTTCTTTTGCTATCAAAGGCATCATTTATCAATTGAGTATTTATTATTAATAAAAACTAATAAAAAAATTACCATCATATATATTAAAAAAATTATAATAATTATTCAAAAATTAATATATGTTAATTTTTTCAATCAAATGAGTGAATCTGAATACAAGATGTCTTAAAATAAAAGAAAATCTTGAATATCATACTTTTTCAAAAATTATACTTTTTCTTGAAATCTAAGATTTCATGAATCAAACGCTCCATAAAAAAAACCAACAATGATTAATCCAATTGATAAAAAAATATGTTTTTGTCAATCAATATTTGATTTTTATGAAATGTACTTTAAAAATAAAAAAGAATGCAGTTTTATAATTGCTTAAGAAAAAAATTAAATTCAAATAAAATTTAAACATCTGACCTAAAGAAGAAGTTTGTAAAAGATTTCTTTGGGCTAAATATCAATGGCCATATTACAATATACCTTTATTCAGTATCAAGGAAAATTGTGTACGTACATATATAAATAGTTTACTATTGTTTTATCTAACAACATCATGATGGGTGGAGCGTATAAATGTAACCATCAAGTTGGAGCTTTGATAAGGACATGACATTTTGGTGTTGCGTATACAAAGGGGCGGCTTTTAACGAACGGAAGGAGAGAGGATTTGGATTTTGTCAGCAACCGGTTCCCACCATTACTCATTCCCCCAACCCATCATCATCAACACCAAATGATGCCATATGAGAGTTTGGGTTTTTTTTTTTCATCATAATTCATCTATAATAGCATTTGTACCAAATCAGCAGTTGCAGAAAGCGGTAATACTAGATAACGGCTAAGATACCTGTTTAACAAGGCCCTTCACCAATGGGAATCAGGAACGTCTCCCGGGGGAGGTCAGCAAACTGCCAACGTCTGCTTTATTTTAGGCACGAGGGTAAAAAAAAAAAAAGAGTTTTCAATATAAATTTAATAATTATTTAAATTTTTTATATTTTATTATCATCAATTAAATTTTAAATTTTTTATTTTGATTCAATCGAATTCTTAATTGAATGAAATATAATTATGTGATAAAATTAAATCAACTGGTTTTCAAATTATAATCAATTAAATCATTAAAAAAGTTTTAGAAAAATATAAAAAAAAAATTATTTTATTTAATTTTCATATATATATATATATCTATATATATTAATTGTGTTAGGTGACATACTTTCATCTAATTTTTTGATATCACATAAAATTTTATGTTAGTTAACAAAAAATTAATTATGTTAAGTTTTTCATCCAAGTAAGTGTTTAATTGAATACAAATAAGTATTAGAGAGGTTGATTAATTGTAATAAAAAAAGAGTTTAAAATGATTTTTTAATTATAATTCAAGACTTTTTTTATCCCCTTTAGTCTTTATTTTATTAATATCAATCAATTGCATGAGATTTTTTATTTTGAGTTGTAAGAGAAAAAATTTAGCTAAAATATTTTAAGTGAAATTTGTGAAGTTTTTTGTTAGAAATGATAAAATAAAAATTAAAATAAAAAACTAAAATCGATAGATTAAAAGGTTTTGTTATATAAATTAAAGTGTGTAAAATTTAAAAAAGATTTAATAAATCTTGATATATATTTTAGATAGATATTATTAGTAAAATGTTGACAGAATTTTTTATTATTGAATAACTATTAATTAAATTTGAATTTTAAATAATTTTTTAAATAATTTTTTTTACATATTATTAATTTTTACATTGAACTCTATTAATATATCGATTTAAATTTTTTTATTAAAATTCTTATTAAATAATTTATTTTAAAAAAATTTTACAAACTTCACGTAAAAAAACCTTGAATTCATGTAAGTTTTATTCCGAGGCCAAAAGGGGCAAAGGTCCCCAACTCATGCACTTGTTCCTTATCTTTGCACTAAAAAAATACACATGCCACACACTCCTTTTCTCTAAAAATGATCTTTAAAGTGAGGAATCCTAAGTATAAGCCCAAAAGCCGAAATTTCTTTTCACCTCGCAATGAAAAGTGAGAGGGGAGGTTTAGGGGGTGTGTAGAGTGCAGAATCTAGCTCTTTACCAACTCCTTTTATTTTGCTTGAGCAATTTCGACTTTAGATCATGGCAATGACAAAATTGGAGGACCCCTAAAGTTCAGCTTTTGAAAGATGGATTTTTCGTTGTAAAAACAAGCTCGTGGGGTTCCCTGTAAAAGTTCATATTGGCCCATATGCTAAAGAGTTCAAAAGCTAGAATGATATGCTGAATTTCTCAGATATGGTTTTTGATTTAATGCTGAATACAAGACAGGAGTTAAAAAAAAAGTCAGCATCGAAGCTAACAGTTGCTGAGCTAAAGAAAAGAAAAGGAAGTGTACGTATGATATCCTGCTCATACATACACCCCCCTCAATACACCTGAGACTGAGGAAATCCATGTTTTGTCTCTTTAATTTTAATAACATGGATCACCGCATATTATCCATTTTGCAGTTTGCTTCAGTACTTGATACCATGACTCATCTATATAATGAATTCTGCAATGATTTAGTTCGCCATAGATTAATACTGTCGGATATGAATCATTTGAAATAAATATTTGTGTGTATATATATTTTTGGGAGGGGCGTGGGCGGCATGTCATTGTAGACTATAGAGTAAAGCAATAAAAGATTGTTCTTTTAGTATAGAGAGGCCCGTTTTTGGCTTTCCAACTCACAATCTACTCTCTTTGGATGCCATAAAAGAAAGCTGAAAGGGGAAGGATGGTTGTGGCTACTCTCGAGGGAGCGTAGGTACTGAAGTCGTGCTGTTCTTTATTTTGCCTTTGTCATAGTGCCTGGACCTCCATTTGGAAGAGTGGAGACAAAAGAGTCTTCTATTTAATCATCAACATTCAAGAATCTCCTCAGTCCTTGCCCTCCTAATCAGATCACGCTATATATATATATATATATATATATATATATATGTATGTACATATTGTTCATATATAATTAAACGCGGTTTAGCTCAAGACAAACAAAAAAATTAGGTGAAAGCAGAAAGAGACAGGCATCAGATCAATCTATGCTTAGCCTTAGAGTTCAATGCATTAACCAGATGGAAGATCAGGAAAAGAAAAAGGACGCAGTTTTGGTCAGCAGGGAAAGAAAAGAAAAGAAAAAACAGCTGGGATAATATTGCAAAAAGCAACAGCTGTTTAGCCGAAAGCTTGTACCTGAATGGCTATATAAAATGATGGTAATTGAAAAGTTAAAAAGAGTTTTTGAAAGTACAAATAAAACATTTAGATTAGACTGATGTTGGGGTGCATGCATGGATTATTGGTTTAGTATTTCAAAACGAAATCTTTCTTTAATCATACAATATTTCTTATTTCTTAGCTAGCTAGCAGTCTGATGGTTAGGTTAATTTCATCTTAATTTCTACTAAAGGATGGATGACTTGGAGAACATATTTCACGTAGTTCACGTTATATATATATATATATATATACACACACACACACTCATGATTTAACGTTTATGCAGATCCTTTTGGTCTGACTAGTCTCATCTGATCTATGTAATGGCAGGTGTAAATCAGAATATCGTAAAAGGAGAAAGCAAAAGGTGTAAAATATCCCAATTATTTAGTGCATTCCAACTTAAAATCCCACAGAAAATATTTTCCAACTTCACGACAAGGGAAAAAGAAGGGGCATGGAGCAGTAAGAAATTCCTAGTTTGGGATCATATGCAATAGAGCTTCTGATAATTAAGGTGGAGCATTGAAGACCAGGTGTAAATATTCGTCTTCGGATACCTCTTGATCCATTACTGTCAAGAAAAGTAAGGTATTTTTAGTTGATCATAACATGGGCTTTGAATGGAAATGTGTTGTTTGTGGAGCACAAATACTAGATTGGGTATAGCAACCAAACTTTTTCAACTGATTTTTGGGTAAGGAAAAAAAATGGCGGCTTTGGAAGCCAAAACCAATTAGAAAAAGTTCCCTCATTTATAAGATTTAAAAAAAAAAAAAATTATCAAAGCAACAACATTTCACATTACTTTGTATAAATTAAGTTACATTTTCATTTACTAGGCACCCTTTTCAACTAACTTTTGAAAATTGTTTAAAGGTTCTTTTCTTCTATTGGGTTTTACATTGACTTATGTTAATCAGCTGTCCCCTTGACGAGGAATTATATATGTGAGAGAGATTTATAAACAATCATTTAATTTTCCTCCTTTGGTGTATTTAAGAGGTTGTTCAATACCTAAAAAAAGTGTGTAGCTTCAAACAGGACAGCCAACATTTAGGTTGGGTGTCAATTTCAAGATGGGCTCTTGTTGGGATTCTATACAGCACATCAAGCGACCTTTCTACTTTTCTCTTCAAACTTTGGCACCCAAACTGAAGAGAACCAAGAACAACTGCCTAATGGGCTGAGGCTACGACAGGGTACAAAGGGTTGTAACTTGATTTTTTTTTATACGATAAAGCAGGCCTAAAGTTTCCGTTTTTTAATCAAGAAAAGAGAAATAGGCCTAAAGTTGCTACCCAGTTTTGTGTTTGAAATTTGTTAAAGGCCATATATAAGTCCTTTTGAAAATGATGCTTGATTTTCAAAATCAACCTAAAATTTACGAAAAGTTCAATTCACCCACACTGGACACTCCTTTTGTAGTTTATATTTAACGTATTGAAAGGAGAAACAAAAATCAAACTAGCTAATTATCTGAGAGAAAGTAGAACCAACTATTAAAATTTTATTTGAACTTGAGTCCCTCTTCATGTTTCTAATCAATATTGCACTATAAGGCCCAAATGGCCAAACTGACAATTATTCAGTCCAACCCCAAACAATTTTAAAGTCCAACTCACTAAATCCATCATCCGCCCTCAATTTCATCGTGGGTCTCAAATCAGGCACTCTTTAAGTGTTAGTGCCCCGCCAAAACCCCAACCTTCCCCACACTTTTTATCCTGCCTTGCCTTACGCTTTCCACCTCACCCATCCCTTGCTCTCTCTCTTTTCAATCCTTTGCAGTTTGTAGTCTGTCCAAAACTCATCTCCGTAAAACCCTTCCTTAACCCTCTCAGAGCCTCACCTCCCCATAAATACGTTCACCCTTAACCTATCTCTGACTTCGCAGAAGCCGTAAGTACATACAGTGCACTTTTATACGTATAAAAAGAACATATTTGCTATGAATTTGAAATTCCAATGGCTTATTTTCTTTGATTTTTTTTTATGGGTGTCTGTTCCCAGAAGTTTAGACGTGACTTTTCAACAAGCTATCTAAAGACAAAGACTCGTTTGTTGATGATCTCGATGAGGGAAGGATTCTTCTCTTTTTCTTTTAATTTTTTTACCGCTTTTTTAATGGCTAGTTTCATATTTCATTTAATTGCTGTTGATTGATGGGGTATTATTGGATTTCCTTTGATTAATTGTGTATAAATTAGGAATGGCTTTTGTTTCTATAGTTTTTATTCTTTGGTGTTTGGAGGACCTGTTATTTATTGTTAAATGACAAACTTCTATTCTTTTATTGCTAATGAATCAGTATACATCCATTAACATTGAGCTTAACATACTTGAAAGAATGTGACACTGACAACATGATTTCCTTGAAGTAATTTAGCTTCACAAATTGAAAGACGAAACTTATTTAAAGTAATTGAAAATTCTTGATGAACTTCTTTACATGTAAAATCTGAATCTGCAATCAATCACTATGGGCTTCGTTAATTTTTTAATCTGTGCTCTTGTATCATCAAAGGATGACTTACTGGCTATTCAACTTTCAATGGGTGTAGTGAAGGACTTGGATCACTAGAAAAAATTCCTTGTTTCTGAGAGTAGAAGGAATCAGATTTTTTTGTTTTCAACCTGGTTTCATCTCAAGGTCAAAAACATATACTCCAACTTAATTTTTCTTAGAAGCTTTATTATTTTCTTGAATATTCTTTGTCTCATCCTGTTTCTTTCACATTCTTGTACTGCAAAGCTATAGATGGCGTGTAGGTACCAATACCATTGATTAGTATCAGTGTGCAGTGTTATGAACTGTAATTCTTACAAGTATCCCGAAACTTTAACATGCTCACGAAGGCTCTTATCAGAAAAGAATCATAGAAAGGTTGTTCGAAAAGTGCCTTATATCAAATAATAAGAAAGGCATGCAACTGCTTGACAAGAATGATGTAAATTGAAAACTTTTATTATTATTTTTTTATGCTAGAAAGGGTTAGCCATAAGAAAGTTCTTGAACATTTGGAGAAGCATTATATTATCATACTTTTAGTTTTATTTTTCTGATTATGACTCGGAACAGGGTTATTTGAGGATAATGCAGCTTTACTGACAATTATGACCCAGAATTGGGTCATTTTCATTTGATAACTACTGTCTTGTTGAATTATGATCACAACTGGACATCTCTGATTTCAAGAAAACCTAAAAATCTTGGACATATCAACTATGATGATTAATAGTAATGCATAATGCAGATGGTTTCAGATGTCAGAATTCATTCTTAGCACATTTCAACAAACCCCAAGTTGATCTTAAAATCTTGGACTGAAATAGGACTACATGCTTTTATGTTGGTGACAATACTCTTGTTCACTAGCATATTTAAAATACAAAGTATCTCCAGACAAGATTCATGGCTAACATTTTATATTAATATATTAAACCAATAGGACACCTTAATGTTAATTTCTCCTGAATTCTATCACAACGGATACCAGTAGAGCATAAGTGCAAGTGGCTTTAGCATGCTTGATATTGCAAGTGGCTTCATCATGCTTGAGAGATGTTATTCTTCTGTTGATAAGTGCGTTGATGCAACATGTGGTCCTAGAGTTGACCATATTTTCAGAACTGGGTCATTTCTGGCTTATTTAGTTAGGAAGAGGGTTGGGGCTGGGGGCGCTTAGGGGTGGGGGAGTTGTTTGGAAGATTGATAGGATTTTCTGCGATGTGGAAGTTGTAGAAATGCATATGAAGCACGCTGTTTTGATAAAATCATATCATTGATTTCTTGCTGGGAAAGTTTGAAACACTTCCTTTCTTGTAATCTGGGCATTATTAGTTCGTGTTGTTCTTTACTGTGGAAACTGGGAAAGATACAACAAGCTTTGTAACCAAAATGCAAATATCACTATTATCTCTCACAATAGCTTGATTTCTTTTGGCTTCCTTGTCCTTGGGTTCAAATGGATTATTCCATTCAAATGTGAATGTTGGAATTTAAAGAGAAAAAGGAGCATGGTGATCATGATCACTAATTAACCCTTGGATGTTAATCCCAATAATCTTAGGATCATAGAACAGTTTGAGAATGCTGGTTCAGATCCCTTTATCAATCTTTCAATCCAGACAACTTCCTTAATCTTTGATTGCCTACTTTTGATTGTTTATGGCCTTTATCAAGAGTAATTTCTCCTAAATCAAACATTTATTCATCATTTTTGGAGGCCTGGTTTTTGCTTGATTTGGAAGCTGTTCAATAATTGACCCGGAAAGAAATATCTGGCAGGACAATAACTAATCAGCAATCACACTTCTCGTGACAGCTACTGTCACGTTCTGCTTTCTGTGAATGTTCGGCCCAATGTTAGGATTTCTCTTAAATAGGCTCTACCTATATGATGCTTAGTGTTGAAGGTTACTATTTCTACCTGTATCAGTCTGTAACTATAGAAGATTAAGGTTTTGATATGAATATTTAAAATTTTGATATGAATATTAGTCTGTACCTATAGAAGATTCAGGTTTTGATATGAATATTTAAAATTTTGTGAAGCTTACTATTTTCCAAAGTTGAAAACAGGTATTTAACAATTTCTTGCACGATGAGTGTGGCTGGAGGACCCGGGACATTGTTGGTGGAGCCTTTCACCGATATGTTTGTTGCTCTAAAGGAGAAGAAATTAGTTGGAGCACCTGTCGCTGCACGGGCATCCTTGTTATGGGCCCAAACTATGTTGATCATGATTGGGAGGCTTGGAGCTCAAACTCACCCAAGTGATTTACTCAACATAATTCATAACATTTTTTTTTATTATTATCATTGTTCTACTGTAATAACTGATCAAGTTTATAATTTGTATAAAACAGTGAGTGAAAGACCTAATTTCATATCAGAATAGTTCTTGCAATATATACAATGTAGGATCCAGTCCTCTTCTGAACTCAGAAGCTATACATATGTTTTATTTCTTGAAACAGATTTCAAGTTGGGAGCTGTGATTGCAATTAGAAGTCTTGGTTACCATCGTCATTCATTTGGTGAATTTCTGTTTTCAATGTTTTGGTGGTTCACATCATGAAGAACATTGCTAAATAAAAGAGGCAGTTGATTGCCATTCCGAAAACCCAATCTGATCCTTACAAATCAAATCTGAAAACAAACACTATTAGTTTCCACCCTCAGAGATGCTCTGTAACGAGGGCCGCCATGTTTTTGACCTCATTGCAGCAGCCTTCACAGGTGTTGTTCTTGAGCGTTGTCTTTCACGCCTTATCAGCTGGAAATTTTAGAAAATAAGCGGCTAAGTACTTAAATGAATAAGAATGAAAGATTTAAATAAAACATGAAAATTATTTCTATTGATATTTGTTCAAGTGTTCTACTTCTACTCAACTGCAAACGGGAATGAGTGTCTGAGGACCCTACTAACATGTTGCTTAGCTGGGAAGAACATATATGAAAGATGAGCCACCCAATTATTCTCTGCATTTACTGTTTGGATATAAAATGGTGCTATTTGGAATAAAACTTCCAACATATGTCGTTATTGTACTTCTGTCTCTCTAATTACTTGAGTTTCGTGCTATTCCTACAAGGTTTAGAAAACATGTTCATCAAGTTGCTCATAGCAACCAGGTCTCCATACAGAGAACTTGGACTTTCTTGTGAAATAAAATCTTATAAAAATACTATTAATATTGATAAAGCCATAAGGGCGAAGTGAGACATACTTGGTAGGTCTGCTCCATGTCAGACTTTCCCATTGACTCACGTCCTGAACTTTGGTTCTCTTGTCCATGCTTTTCATTTGATTCCAGCTGCTGACTTTTCATTTTTGCATATTTCTTTGCCCTCAAAACCTTCATGACCTCTGCAGCCCCAGGAAATGCATAACTATTAGTTTCTTAATGAACATAATCAAAAAGAATATGAAGCAATGATCAGTGAAATATCTCATAACCTTCTAAGAAAAGAAAGTTAAGAGTGAAGAACTGTAGATGAACAATTAATATGGTACCTTGAGAAGTGATAAGCCGATAAGCATGGCCAAGGGCAAGAGTATCGCTAGGCCGGAGAAGCTTAACACGGGTGAAACGTATGGTCTTTTCATCTTGATTCTCTAATTCCTCGGACACAGGCAGTGGAACGATAAGTGAAACGTAATGACCTGGATTCATTCTCATCACTTCACTTGCCGGAATCGGCCAATATAACCTCTCTATCCTCCCACATGGATGTTGTATCACCAACGCTGCAGCATCTATTGCTTGACAATTCCCCATCTCTTCTCTCTCTCTCTTTGCCGAAAGATTTAGAGCAAGAAGATTGAAACATATGTAAGCAGCAGTCTCTTTCTATACAGCTCCCTCCCCACCACGTCTTACTCAAGCGGGCCGTCCCTCATTTCCCAACTAACTTATTCTACATTAGGTTATTTCAAATAAAATTGAAATTCAAAACGGCAAGCTAAAAAAAAAATGTAATATTGCACATTGTTAATATAAATAAGGATAGTTATTAGGCCAATTATAATAGCATATGTTACAATATCCCTTGACCGCTTAAAGGCATGCCCAATGGGCACCGGCACAAGGCCTCGGAAGGCTGCACGACCTCCACGTGGAGAAATGTCAGGAGTTGGGAACTTGGACTGGCATGGCTCGGCCGTATCGACGGCGTCAAGGGTTGAACTTGGATCGGGGGCAGATAGGGTTCTATAATCTTTGTGTCTAAAAATGTAATAGCCCAAGCAAAGGTATGCATTCGTGTAAGTGAGATTCTTTGTCTGGACAATGACACCCCACCAACCTATCCGCATTATAACAAAAGCCATGCCCCCCTTTGTCCTTTAGGCTTTCAACCAAATCCCCTCAACTCCAATGCTTTTTTTTTTCTTTGCCATAAATTTCTACCAAAAGAAAAGGAAAACTTTGAGTCTTCGTGCAGTAATTTTCATTCTTATCCAGTTCTAAAATCTTCGTCATCAATTCTTTTTCAAAGGTTTTTTTTTTTTTTTCCGTAAATGCATTTAAAAATAAATTAAAAATTGGCACACTGATTAATGTTGCACAAAGAGTCATGGACATTATGTGCTCTGTTTAAGCAATCCTCTGTTTTCAAAATATTATTATCACTCAGAGAAACGACTGGGAAAAAAAAAGCATCCCACTTTTATTGGTAAGGAATATTGAAACATTAAGCACAACGTTTTGTTAAGGTCCAAAGTTCAATGTGATTAAAGTAAACCCAAAGTGACATATCATCAAGATTTCTCTTGAGATGCTAGTGTAAAATACGAGCAAAACACTAGCAAACTCGAGAGAGGGTTTGGGGTTCTTTCCATGGTGGATGTAGGATGTGGAAAGTGAAGGACAAACAAATCATTAGGATCCCTTTGCAATAAAATATGTAAAGAACATGCAGGGGCCATACTTACCAAAAAAATATATATATATATATATTTCTTTTTCTCGTCTACGGTAGTGCCAAATTGTGTGGAATCTAATTATTATATTAATATTGATTATTTTTAATGGAGAGTAAATACACGAATCATCTCTCATGGTACAATTAATGTTGGCGTTAGAAGGGGTGATAAACTCTCTTTCAGATGCAGAGAGAAATCCTATGAATAAAATTTTATTTGTAATGATATTAATTAAAAATATTTGGGTTTTAATTTGATCTTCCTCATTATGCTTATATCTAGAGGATTTTTTGTTTAAAAGTTTATTATCACATTTGTAATTTTTTTTATAATAAAAAAAATTTATAGTGATTCTTAAATAAACATATCTCGCTTGAGAATGAAATATTATAAGTTTCGCATATTTAATTTTTTTGTACTTGTTTTATTATCTCCTTCTAAAAATATTATATTAATCCTAACAGGTAGAACAAAACAAATTTAATATACTGTTAACATTTAACAATTTATCATATAAGGGGGCTGCCGGCACTGCTCACATGTCTCATTTGGACAATGTTGAACTTCTTTACATATTTCTTTTATCACTCCATCATTTTACGTACACTAAACAAAGGAGAAAAAAAAATGAACCCATTTAACATTGGAAATTTGGAGGCAAATTCTGAGCAATCGAAGACCGAGATCATTAAATTGTCAAATGCTAAACATAAATAAAAATGAACCCAATGCCCAAGTGTTTCTTTTCTTCCTATCATGTAGTTTATAATAGTTGTTTTGTTGTTGGATTTAGAGCAAAGCACTGGTGTTTACATAGGAAAGAGGCAATAATCTGCCTGAGATCTTTGACTACTATAAATCTGGTTCATCTTAAACTATTTGAATCCCAAAGTTTGAAATATAAAATTTTGCATTTCCATTATGTAGATATTCACATGTTTGTGTAAACATAATGTTATGCCATGTGAGGTGTTGGAGATCTCTGGTTCACATATTAAATGATGAAATGGATTCTTGCAGGGGAGTGCCCCACACCCCCCCCCCCCCCCCTAATTTAAAAACTGAAAGCCTCCTTTACTTGTGATATGGCTTTGAGGAGAGGCTAACCCTTCAATATAGAAATGCTGGCAGGATTTCCTGTGTTGTTATTGTTAGAGGAGAGCGTTATATTTTTTTAGAAAAAATGGTGGTGTGGATTGAGTTCAGACTCTACAATGTGGGGGCAGCAAATTTCTGTACCTTGGCCCGTAAACATTCTAATTTCTAATTAAAAGCTTTCCCACCAAACAATTCAGGCCAAGAGGTCTGGTTAGTGGGGTTATTGTTCTTTTTTTTTTTTTCCTGTTACGAAGGACATTATTTTTTAAAGTTGCTTTCTTCTTCCGGCCCTAAATTACAAAGCAATAGCTATCAATTTAAAGAGTAGTCCTGTTTCAAGAATGTCTGTATTGTACAAGTGTTCAAGATCTAAACGACAATAATAGTGGAGAAAACAACATGAAAGAAGAATATGAATTTAACTCATTAAAGATGGAGGGAGTTCACCTACTGTATAAAGTATTTCATTTCAACCTCTTGAAAAACATGTCCTGAAACTAGATTTACCATAAAGAGTACGGTCAAACCCAGAACCATTCTACGAGGTGTCTTCCATATGAATGGTCCGCAGAAATAAATTAATCATATAATTACAGCACAAATTCAAGAACTTAATCAATTTAATATGCATGATATCAAAATCACTTTGATTAAAATTGTGTTTGGATGGGCGGGCACTGCATTGCATCCTTAGTTAGCCTTTTTTTCACTGCACCATCATAACTAATGTTATGTTTGAATTACATTTTTAAAGAAACAGAAAAAGGATTTTAAAGAAAAGAAAAAGGGAAGATGCATCATTCATTGTTTGAATAGTTATAAAATTAATAAATTAAATCTTTTATCTTATAGTTCTGAGATCGACATTCATTGTTTGAGTAGGTAAAAGTGCAAAAATAAATTAAAAGAAATGAAGGGATTATTATATTTTCTTTTTTGAGTTAACTAATCAAAAGGAAAGGAAATAATATATTAAAATATCTTTTTGTGTCATATCCTTTTGAATAAAAATTTTCATGAAAAATGTGATTGATTTTAAAATTAATTACTAAAACTTAGTACTGATAACATTATTAATTAATCTTGTCATGATTTTCTAATTAAAATATATTACTATTTGTTATTCAAAAAATTATAGAACAATAAAACAACACATACCCAATTGATAAAGTCTAAAGCTAAAAAGTAATGCATGAAAAAAATCCAATATATGGCACCCATAACGTACAAGTTTTACAATAGATTTGAGACAAATCCAATGTTGTATACTTTTGATATACACTTCTAGTGTGATTTTCCATTCATCCATGTCTAGGTGTCGACGGGCATGCTCGGATATTAGAAAACCAATATCCAGGCATTTAAGTTAGTTTTATTATATAAAAGTACATTTTAAAATTTTAAAATTAATTAAAATACATTATTTATTAATATAATAATATTATTTGGTTGACTTGCCTTGGACCCCAGTCTAAAAAATAACGTTCGACCCTGGCCTGAGTCGGACAAACCTGGCACCTATATATATATATATATATATATATATATATATGTATATGTATATACACACGAAAGCTAAACTAGGGCTACAAAGATTCAATAAGGGGAGACGACTACTCCAATTATCAAGCATACTATTGAATAATAAAACTTAGCCGGAGTACTTCGCTTATTCCTCACCCTTTATTTTTTTACCACAGTACTCTAGGGTTGTAGCCAGAATCTACTAGGAGCACTGCTGGTTCTGTCTTGACATAAGCAGGAATTATAACTGCTTTCAGAAAGTGGAACACAACAACATTGACACTAATTCAATAATTCTGATATTATATATGTGGTTCAATACAATGAAAGTTTTAAGGTTTCTTATTCCATTTTTTTGCTTTTGGTAGTCACTTAAATGTACCATGTCTGCTATTGTCTTGATAATAACTTTAAACATCACCAGCAACGTCATTTTGTGTCTCCTAACCTTTTTAAGATTTACAGGATTGACGTTTACAGTCAAAATTCATGCATGATATTGAAAAGGAGATCTCCACATTTTCCCTCTTTTCCATGACTGATGATTGCAATTGTTCCTTTGCACGCATGTGAAATTAGAGGTAATAGACACTTTTAATATGAATTATTGATTGGTTAGGCAACGACATATCCACAGTGAAGAGAAATCAGAAATTGACACCACTATAAATGGTGGTCTGCTTGTCGCCTTGTGGTTCTGAATTGTATCAAATCAAACAATGAGGTTTGCCCCATTCTTTCAAGACACAAAAAAATTATTATGAGCTAATCTATCTATTTCTTAAAGGGAATGGTTTCATTTGCTGTCAATTCTAGTAAATATAGACTTTCTCAACCTTTTTTTCTCCCTTTGGACATCCATCTTTGACCATCTGTTTCACTTCTCACATTTCACTATTATTTTTTAGTTACAAATACATGCACTTATTTTTTTTTATACAACACTAAATTATATTTTTTTTATACAAAAGAGACTAAGTCTAGGAATATAAGAAGAAGTGGTTAGAGCAAACATTAAAAAATTAGAATTACTACTTTCGATAAATTTGAAATTTTGAGAAAAAGCTCTAAGGCATGTAATGCTGCCACTTTTATTAAGGTTTTATTTACCCCTATTGTATTATTTATTTAGTTAGTGTGCAAAATGTTGTAGGCAATAAATCTTGATGATACAATAAAGTTCAGTAACTGATTACGTTTTGTATTGATAAAATCAATCCACTTAGCAATTATCGACGTATTACAAGATCATTGAACTTTTATAAAGTTTTCTGAAGTAAAACTTTTATAAAAGAAATCTGAAGTTTGAATAAAGAGGGAGAGTTCTAAGAATTGTTTCTATGTGTTTTCAAAAACCAAAGAAACTTTTTATAAATAGATAAATATTCTTTCTTACAAATATGACTGTCTATTTTGAATAGACAAAAACTATCTGTTTTTGAACAATTGAAACTATTTATTTTTA